AGTCAGGTATTTGTATCCCAGCCCCTGATGATTCTCCAGGATGAGAAATTTCTATGTGGGTGAGTGACTGAATCTCAATCCTCAATTTTGGGAGTTCCTGTACAGTGGGTTCAACAAAAGAGCAAGAGGACTGTCTGGCACACACCCTGGGCTGCTGAAGCTTTTCCACTTTCCTACATAGTTCCTTCTTTTTTCTTTTTTTAAATTCAGCCAAATGGGCAGCTGCTTGAGATCCAAGACCCTACTTTGCACCTCTTTTATACCCTGGTGATCTAAAACTGATGTCTTAAAAAGCAAGGTAAGCAGAGTATGCATGGTGCAGCTGTTTATTATTAAGATTTATTTTAGTGGCTTTATAGCACTTAAAATAGCGCCTTTTATAAGTGCAGTTCGATTTTTTCCATTACTTTTTGTTGTTGTTTAATAAAACCTACAGAACACAAGTTTGCTTCAGCTCCTATGTCGGTTTTCAGAACTGCCGTCCTGCTGCGTGCTACAAGTAAATATTAAAACCCTGCTTCATAAGTGCTATGGAGAGAAAGGTTTCCTGAGAAACGCGTCTCCGTCCACACACACTTCCAGCACACACCAGAGGGCTGAGTGGTTTCAGCGAGAGAGACGCTCACCGTTCCAGAGGCTGCGGGCCACCAGCAGGGAGCCGGTGTGCTGGGGTTCTGGTGAGAACTCTTGCTGGTTCCCAGGCCGCTGTGTGTTCCCTCTGCCTGCTCCTGGTCTCTCCCCACTGTGCCAGCAGGGGTGAACGGGGCCCTCTGATGTCTGCTCACAGGGACACTAATTCTCTGGGGTCCGGGCCCCATCCTGATGACCTCATCTAACTTTAGTTCCTTAGAAGGCTCCTGTCCCTAAACACTACGGGGCTGGAATTCAACATCAGAAACAGAGGGCGGTGGTCACTGATAATCCCTCACCCGCCCGCTCTTCACTGGGGTGCGGAGGTTCCAGTTCCTTTACTGCTTGAGTTGGTGGAGAAAGAGACTCCCTCAGAATGCCAGTCTCCATTTAGCACCCTCTCTGAGTGTCATTCGGTTTTTAATGTAAACTCCTAGTGTGGTTAAAACATGCTGCAAAGATCTCTAAGATTGGGAAATCTGTATGCAGAACACAGGGCCCAACCCCACCCGGCCAGAAAAGCACATGATTCCTGACTTTTTTTTTTTTTTTTTTTTTTTTGACAGGCAGAGTGGATAGTGAGAGAGAGAGACAGAGAGAAAGGTCTTCCTTTGCCGTTGGTTCACCCTCCAATGGCCGCCGCGGCCGGCGCGCTGTGGCCAACGCACCACGCTGATCCGATGGCAGGAGCCAGGAGCCAGGTGCTTTTCCTGGTCTCCCATGGGGTGCAGGGCCCAAGCACTTGGGCCATCCTCCACTGCACTCCCTGGCCACAGCAGAGAGCTGGCCTGGAAGAGGGGCAACCGGGACAGAATCCGGCGCCCCGACCAGGACTAGAACCCGGTGTGCCAGCGCCGCTAGGCGGAGGATTAGCCTAGTGAGCCGCGGCGCCGGCCGATTCCTGACTTTTTATGTTTAATTAAAAATGACGGGGCCGGTGTTGCAGCAGGTAAGTCCATATGAGGGCCAGTTGGAGTCCCGGCTGTTCTGTTTCCAATCCAGCTCCCTGCTAATGTGCCTGAGAGCGCAGCGGAAGATGGCCCAAGTGCTTGGAATCCTGCACCCACCTGGGAGGCCCAGAGGAAGATCCAGGCTCCTGGCTTCAGTCTGACCCAGTCCTGGCCATTGCAGTCATTTGTGGCGTGAACCGTTGGTGGGAAGGTCACCGTCACCATCTCTCTCTGTCACTCTCACCTCCCCCCTCCACTCTGCCTTTCAAATAAATAAAATAAATCTTTTAAAAGATTAGCAAAACCGTTATCCTGAACATACATAAATAAGAGCATTAGCCATTGAAAGGGACGTGGTTGGTGCATATGACAGGGCAGTGCTCATTTTTATAGCACCACCAAATACTAATTACTTTAATTCTCCTCTGTGGTCTGTCTTCTCTCTCTCTCTCTCTCTCTATCTCTCTCTTTCTGTCTCTCTCTCTCTCTTTCCCTCCCTCCCTCCCCCATACAGATAAACCACATACACAGTATGAGCAAAAAATATCAAAATAAGCAGTCATTTTTTCTGATTCTGTACGTACGTACACATGAGCTAATCTAACAATACGATTCAGTTCTAAGACCGATGGCACCACCCTCTAGAACCGTGAGCACACAGGTGGGCATCCCACAGCCAGGCACAGGGCACTGACACCAGCCCAGCAGGGCTGCTGCCCACTTCTCCGGATGTCTCTCCCCAGCCCCTACTCTATAATCCTGTATTCTTTAATATTTGCGCGAGTGCACAGTGGATCCTGATGAACATAAACTTGTACGGATTCCAGATTTGCCTTCAGTTGACAGAAGAGGCATGAAGCCGGGGTAGTCCATATCATTCAGGAGGTGACCTTGACCTACAGACGGTATCAATGACAGACAGCGCACTTCGGGGCCACCTGCACAGGAAGCTTGCCAAGGGCGATTCCGTGGGCAGGGGTTCAGGGGTTGGGGATGGGGCCCTGCAGTTTTTTACCTGGTGGCTGAAGCCCTGCCTGCATCCCACGGCCCAGGAGCCATGATTCTGTTCCAAGGCAGCCAGCCCCCGGTGCCCAAGGCAATTGCAGCCACAAAAGAGGGCTCTTCATAAAGAATTCAGCGAGATGTTTTCCTTTCATCCTCAGTTCAGGTTGCTCCTTCCAAGGGGAATGGAGAAGCCAACTCTGTTTCTGTAATGATTTTCCAGGAGGCATGTGTGTCCTCGCAGGGGTGGGGGCGGGGCCGGTGCAGACCCGAAGGGCAGCTGGGCCTCAGGCTTCCTGATTGAACTGTGTTCTCCTTAATGGATTATCTAGGTGATGGTCCCCTGCCCCGGTCACTCAGGCGGCTGCTTAGCCCTCGCCCTGTCCACGCAGAAGGTTGGGGCTTTGAGCGAGAGGGAGGATGAGCCCTGAGCCTGTGAAAGGACTGTCTAAATAAAAAATGAAGATAATAGAGCTTCAGAAACCCTTAAGGGCCAGAGGGAGTGAGGCAGGCCAGCTTTTGAAAGGAGGAGAGGCCACTCGCCTCTCCCTGCACCTGCTGTCTGAGAAGTGCTCTTACTGAAGAGGCCTGCGGTCCGATCTGCATATCAAATAGCCGATTTGCAGATGAGGTCATGCATTCTGCGTCTGTGTTTGCTGTGTTTAGCAGGAGGCCACAGAGTCCCACAGGCCCCCAAGTCAGCAGCCCCTCACCCACACTGAGTTCAAAACCAGGGTTGAGTTTAAGGAATAAATCTCTGAAATACCTAAGGCCTGGGTTAGTTCAAAGCACCCGAGACCTGCAACCAGTGAGGTTTTCTTTAGTGACTGGGGTTCACCAGCTCAAGTCTTGGATAAGGAGAAGACTCATGTATAATCCAGTTAGCGCTTCTCCTCTCCTTCTTGTCATCACACGGATCAGTGCTTCCGTGCATAAACACAGTGCCAGCTTTGGTCATGCCTAGCAGTGGCTTATTATCTGATCAAGTAGCAAGAGGGGAAATTAAAAATACGGTGCTGTCTACTTAAAATACATTAGTTTTCCCGTTTCCGATTATCTAGAGTCTGATGCGGGTAACTGATCCCAATGCTCAAGGAAGTTTTGTTGTTTCAGAATTCTGCTAATCTACTGGCTCTTACTATCTCTGTGTGCATGCACATAGATTTGTGTGTATATACACACATGTTTCAACCATAGGCTTTCACGATGCAATCCTGCAAAGGAATAAAGCAGCAAACAAAAGTGACCAATGCCTCTGTAATTCAATATTTGTCTGTTTCCCAAGAAAGGACAGAATTATTTCACTTGGCCTCATTCTTTAAGCTGGGTTTTCATATTGCTCTGTGAAAAGTGGGAAAATACCAGAGCAGAGTATTTTCTTAAAACTTATAATAAGGGACTGGGAAAAAATCAGTTCAGGTGCATTTAAGATGAAGCTGCTATGTTAACTTCTTCTGCTAGGTTAACTTCTTTTCATAAATTCTTGGGCAAAAATATTGTTGTATTTTCTGGTTCATTGTGGTGATTTTCAAGACCCTACTGCTGTTTCTGGCTGCAGAAGTTAACTTACAGATCTGGAACATTCTCTCGAGGCTAAGGAAAAGTCGCTGCCATTGCTGGGAATGACCATGATAGTCCAAAGATGACCGAAAATGAGGGAAAAAAGGCTAGGGCTTCAGGTTTAAGTAAAATATTAAAAAAATGTGTTTTCTTAAATTAATATATCATTCTATGAAATATTTTAGGTGCTTTACTTAGATGAAAAAGATCCATAAAACATAGAAAGGCAAATTTGCAAAATTAAAAAAAAATATGCCAGTGAAGTATGGTTAGTTAAGGATGCTTCTGTGATTGCTTGAAGGAAACTGAGGGGTACTCAGGAGTAAGCCTGTGGAGAGTGAAACGTACTCACCGCTCCTCAAAGACAGGTGATTCTACTGAGTGATACTGGGATACGATTTTTTGATGTCTTGCATAATAGACATAAAGTGTGGAAACTGAAGTAGGTGCTTGGCCTCGTTCCCACGGCTCTGATGTGGATGCCTGCGTCCCATATCTGAGTGCCTGCGTTCCAGTTCCAGCTCCACTCCCAATTCCACCGTCCTCCTCACGCACATCCTATGAGGCCGTGGTGGGGGCTCAGGTGGCCAGTCCCTGCTACCCCAGGGGGAGCCCACGATGGAGCTCTGGTCCTGGTTTGGGGCCCATCCCAACCCCAGCTGTGGTGATCACCATTTGGGGTGTAAGACACTGGCTCTTGCTGGCTCTGTGTGTTTGTGTGCGACTGTCTCTCTTTGTCTTTCAAATAAATAAATAATTTTTAAGTGTCTGAAAGTGCTGACTGTTACTTGCACAACGGTTGAGACTTTATATTCCTTTCAAACAGTTGGTTTCAGTTGATATTTTCTTTTTTCACAGGGAGAAGCTGTGGCTGAGAGAAGCTGCACCTACTCAAGACCACTCGGTGTGCAGAGAGCTGGGAGGACCTGGCATCTCCCAGCTCCCCCACGATGCTCTGCCCCTCCCCCACAGCTGCCCTGGGACTCACGTTGCAGAACTGTAGACTGAACACAGAGAACTACATAAGATGAAGAAACAGACAAACCGCAGGAGGTATTTCTAGTTAGAGAAGAATTTGTATTATGCCCAAGTGACCTTTTGAATGTCCAATATATTTAACTTCTGCATTTCTTTTTTAAAAGATTTATTATTTTTATTTTTTTTAATTTTTTTGACAGGCAGAATGGACGGTGAGAGAGAGAGAGACAGAGAGAAAGGTCTTCCTTTTTTTCTGTTGGTTCACCCTCCAATGGCCGCCGTGGCCAGCGCGCTGCGGCTGGTGCACTGCACTGATCTGAAGGCAGGAGCCAGGTGCTTCTCCTGGTCTCCCATGGGATGCAGGGCCCAAGCACTTGGTCCATCCTCCACTGCCCTCCCGGGCCACAGCAGAGAGCTGGCCTGGAAGAGGGGTAACCGGGACAGAATCCGGCACCCCAACCGGGACTAGAACCCGATGTGCCGGTGCCACAGGCAGAGGATTAGCCTATTGAGCCGCGGAGCCTGCCAAAAGATTTATCTTTAACATTTATTTTTATTTGAAAGGCAGAGAGGGGCCGGCATTGTGGTGTAGCAGGTTAAGCTGCTGCCTGCAATGCTAGCATCCCATGGGTGCAGGTTCGAGTCCAGGCTGCTCCACTTCTGATTCAGCTCTCTGCTAATGGGCCTGGGAATCAGTGGAAGACAGCCTGAGTACTTGTGCCCCTGCCACCCACATGGGAGACACAGATGGGGTTCCCTGTTCCTTGCTTAGCCTGACCCATCTTTGCCTTGGCCCAGCCCTGGCCATTGAGGCCATTTGGAGAGTGAACCAGCAGATGGACAATCTTTCTCTGTCAATCCTCTCTGTAACTCTGCCTTTCAAATAATAAAATCTTAGAGAGTAAGAGAGAGAGAGAGAGAGAGAGAGAGAGAGAGAGAGAGGTACCATCTTCTGGTACATTCCTCAAAAGGCCAGGCCAAAGTTAGTAAACAGAACTCACCCACATATCCATGCAGATGTCAGAGATTCAAGTGCTCAGGACATCATGTGCTGCCTTCCCAGGCATCAGCAAGGAGCTGGACCAGACTTGCAGCAGCCTAGATTCAGACAGGATGCCCGCGTTCCAGGCTCTCCTCAACCCGCAGTGCACCTGGGGTCCTGTAGGAAGCCCGGTGATCTCTGCAGTTGAGTATTGACCCTGATTAACTAAAGACCCTCTTGCATATGCAGAATTGAATAATAAAGACTTAGCCAGACCAGGTATCCAAAAAGCACGGGAGTCATATTTGTATCTGGTTGTGGCTCCATCTCTGGCCTTTTTTTATAGAAGCCCTCAGCTGCAACAGCAGTGCAGGGGTTAAGTCCAGTTGTCCTCTAGGGAACCAGCAGGGACAGTCCACATAAGAGTCCTGGGCACATTACCCATCTGCTGTCTAATAAAGTAAATTTTAGTTTTATTGCTACTGATGTTTCTTTTTTTTTTTTAATAGTCAATTTTTTCAATATTCACACTGAATGCCAACTAGCCTGTTGTTTACAAATGCAGGGATATTCTCCATACTACAGAGAATTTCCGATTAAAAACTGTATTTATAAACATGTTCTAACAGTGTGGGTACTTCTATTTATAATGAGTTAGATTTAAATATTTCTAATGTGAAAATAACCACAAGCAAACAACCTAATCTGTGTCTGCCTTCTAAAAACAGTTGATAAAGTGTGTCCACTTTCTTGTTTACCCGTGAGACGTTCAATTTCTGCAAATCTCACAGCACTTGATTTCAGGATGCTGGGTACTTTGTGATGTGTTTGCCAGTTGTTGTTTTGTTTTTTTTTTTTTTTTCATAAACTGGAATCTTGATTTTTACAATAAGCCAACACTGGATTGTGTGTATGCCCTCCCTCCTCCTTGAAATACACATGAAAGATTCATTCCAAGTTCCTCAAGCTGCCCTTCAAACGCTTGCTTGTGTGCCGTGGTGTTGACAAGTGGTAATAGGAACACAAGTGCCTGGGAGCTTAATGAGCAATTCATCTGCATAGTGAGATTTGGGGAGGGTACAAATAAATCCACTGCAAAGCTGCTCAGGTTAGAGGGGAGAAATCTTATTTATCATGCTGCATAATAAAAAAACTATCTCCCTGTCTATAAACTCACGGCAGCCAGCATGGCAGCTACTTTGCCTGCTTGTGCTCTGAGCTTGATTGTTTTCCTGAAAGCAGTCTGTTCTCTGACCCAACACTAATGAAGACTGTGCTTGTGACTATCTGATTATTTATCCAAATATACCTGGTATGACTTAACACAAGAACAAACAAAAAAATTAAGCACTTCACTGATAAAACGTATGACGTAAGTAGGTGTACACATAAAATTCAATCTATAAATGGCACAGGAGGAACACGATAGATCAGTGGATGTGACTCAGAGGTAAATACTTTGGGGAACTTTAAGAGCTTTGTTGCACCAGGTCTTTAATTCCAAGAACACTACGGGACGTACAGTGGGGAGCAGGCTGGGTGCATTGCAACTGCTATTCCTTAGGTGGGGATCCCTTTGTTAAATTAGATAGCAATCAAAGCCTTGGTCTCTCCCCACCCCCTGGCAACTTCTTCCTATTTCATCACCCTCACCCTGCCTGAGATTAGAAAAATCAACAACGTGATTCCCAAAGCTAACGAATAGACAACTCCAAGGACTGAATGCGAGTTTTTTTGGCACCAAGTGTATATTCTAGTGGTAAATTCTGGGCTGTTTCCTACATCAATGGTCCATAGCCCTGTGCTTTTCTTAATAGGATTTATGCTTGTCGGCTTTCTATCTGGCCTGCCGTGGTGGATAAAGGGAGAGGCAGAGCCCCTGTGGTAACCACAGCCACCCCATCTCCCAGTGTTGACCAATTCCTGCTAAGCACAGAATAGGCCATGGAGGGAAGGCATGTCAGCTTATGCATAAACATGACGGCTCCTATCTGCAAGATTTCCTGACTGCTTAGCCAGATCCTTGTAGTAAACCCTATGATTGAAACATCTGCAACAGGAAAACAAGAAAATCTTAATTCTTTCCAGATTCAAACCCATTTCCAGGCAAATGTCACCAGACTCCACCGAGGGCTGGGGAAGCGGAATGCCTTATGCCTCTGCTGAGATTTGAAAAGGTTATTTCCACGTCTTTAACACGGCAGCGCAGAGGGCTGGGCCCTGAATGGCTGGAGTTGCTAGGAGATAAGTCCACCATCTGAGCCGGGGAGGGGGCTGGAGTTATCTCTAATTGACAGCTCCTTACCCTGAGGGTCTGATTCTAACCTTGACACCAGAACTATAATGAGAGGGCAGCTCCCCGTCACCCCTGCCTCTGGCACAGGCCGGGAGATTCCTGGGGGCCCGTTTTCTGGGTCCTGCTCTGTTTTGGGAGGGAGGCACCGCGGCCCCTGTCTGGGGCTCCCCTTGCCTGGCTGAGCGCGGGTCTGATCCAGGCCACCTGAATAAACTTTCCCTTTTTCTTAAGATGGCCTCGCTTTGAAATCCTAAGAGGATGCCCGGCGAGGCCCTCGCTGGACTTTGAAATGATTTGGAATCCGACCAGGGAAGGTGCATGTCTTTTTTCTTTTCTTTAAGGGAGGCTGTGGGGCGGGGAGCAGGCAAAGCGAGGACGAAGAAGAAAGAGAACAGCGCATCTCGGGTCGGGGCGGCCCCTCCCCCGGCCAGAGGCGCTCGCACCGCGGGTCCTGCGGCTCCCGGAGACGCGGTGAGGACGGGAAGTGGAAGACAAAGCCGAGCGCAGGAGGGGGCGCGGCCGCTGCAAGTGCCGACTTATTTCTCTGAACACAGTAGCCCAGATCTGTGCGATTTATACAAAGCCCGGAGCTCGCCCCCCGAGCGCGCCGCAGGCTCCTCTGGCCGGCAACCCTGGAACACACCCGCGAAGCCAAGGGCCAAGGACAAAGACGCCGCCCCATGTCGCCTTGGGATCTGGACCTGCCAATTCCCGGACTGCGGAGTCCTGACCCCCGCATCGCCCCCCAGAGGAGGAAGCACCACGTGGGGTTTCTCTGCTGGATGCACAGACCCTGGACAGGGACCTCGCATCTCATTAGAGATTACAATAACCGGCATGAGAACATAAGAGAAGGTGGCTAGGCATTCCTCCTAGCTTTGAGAGGAGTCTGGAATATGTAAAATAAACCAATACTACTTAATATTTGCACATATATTTGTTTATCTCCATGCATTTCTGCAGAAGCAATTAGATAGCCCCCCCTGGCCTTTGTCACCATGAACAGCTTGGACACTGATGTGTTTTCAGTGCCACTGAGAGGGGCCAGATACAAAAAGCCAGAATCCTAGCATTTTTCCTGATGAAAATTTTGCCATTTTCCTCTCTCCTTTCTAAATAAAAATTGTTGAAATAACTGCATACCAAGCAGGCTTGTTTGTAATGGGGTTGTTATTTTAAAATGCAACCTTGGAGGGAGTAAGACACACACTCACATCTTGAGAGATTTAATGATATTTTGATTCATGTTACAAATATGATTGAAAAAGAAAGAGGACATAGCCAGGAAAAAATGAAAAAAAAAATGGAATCATCCCTAGTCAGCTAAATAAGACTTCCTTCTCGAGTATCCTCTTTTTTAAAAAAAAAAAAATCTTCTATTTGAATGTAATTCTAATTTACAGAACGTTGCAAAAAGGTAGAAAGATCTCAGATAATGTACCCGGATCCCCAACTGTGTACACTTCGCTCATCTACTTTCTCCTTTGCAGGGTGTGTGTGTGTGCCTATGCCTTATTTTTTTTTTCTTGAGACATTTGGTAATATACTGGAGACAGAAAGCCCCTCTACCTCCAAATAAATAAAGTCCAGGGTCCTTTTCCTAAGACCAAGATGCCCGATGCAGGGACTGGACAACTCCCCCAGTCAGGAAATTTAACCCCAGTGGAAAACTTATCTAATCCGCCATCTCCTGACAGTGTCCTTCGCTGCAATGAGTTCCCAGTCTTGCAGGAATTTCAGGGTCACACACTGCTGTGGTTGACCAGAGGTGGTTTCTAGGACTTCACCAAGACAGAGGTGGGAGTGCAAGGCAGGATAATGCCACCCACTACCCATCGTTGGCTTGGAGAGAGGCACCCATGAGGAGTCACAGCACAGGTTCTGGGGGGCCCAGCCGTGCATGAGAGAAACTTGCCCTCCCCTAAGAACAGAAGCCGTGTTATTTTCACACATCACCTAAAGCTCATTGAAAATAAATATTTTGTATAAAAAATAAATAAATTTGTTATGAGCGGTGACAAACGCCAGTCACTATGAAATATTTGTGGGACTCAGTGTGTGATTCCAAAGGTCCTTAAGCCGGGGCATCTGTGAGTGTTAGGGATGCTTGCCTCACAGCTGGAGGGGCTGAGAGGAGGAGAGACTGAGAGACAGGAAGAACAAGGGAGCTGGGAGAGGATGAAACACTCAGCTCAAGATGCAGAGAAAGAAAATGGGTGGAGAACAAACCGGAAGCATCCATTATAGAAGTGAAATGTTTGTATCCTTCCCATGATTGTGGAAAAAAATTTGTGAACAGGAATCCTGCTGCAGCAGTATTTCCTGGGCCTGCAGCCACGAGGGCGTGTTTGGGCTCCTGGAAGAGGCAGCAGGGAGGGGTTCCCTCTGCAGGTGAGCCTGACTTAGGGCTTGAAGGTCTAGTCTCCTTCTACACAAACAGTGCCGATTCCCAGACCATCACAGATGGTCATGCAATGTCAGAAGTTACTCCCCCCTGAGTTTTCTGCCCATGCAGGAGAGGGGCACTTAGCATTTCCGGGACACCAGGACAAGCTTCCCCCGCTGTGTTGGCCGCAGCTGCCAGCCCCCAGCTCTTCTCTGCACCTGGGTGTCTCTGTTAGCCCGCACGGTTTTCTATGCAGTGGAAGCCAACATCATTTTTCTCACAGACGCTATTCAACCACAAGCCAGTTTTCAATTCATTTTTCATTAAGGTGAAAGTGGAATTTTCTTTTACTTTAAAGGAACTTTGACTTCCTTTGAAGTGTATTTTGCATTACTGTTTCAAAGCCCAGAGCTGAATCCAGGCCCCAGGCACCCGGGGAGGGGGGGTGGAGGAGGTTTTGGTTCAGGTGTCCCTCCCAGAAAGGAAGTCCCTGGGGACCCACGAGGACAGATTCCCAACTGTGTATGAGCAGCTGCTGAGTAGGCAAGGGCCTGTGTGGACTCCGTAGCCGGCTGTCCTTACATGGGCTACCGACCTCTGACTTGGCTGCAGATGAAGTGGTTGGGACTAGGAAACTGCCATTTAGTTTACTCCAGCAGTAACAAGCCAACAAGAAGTAATATATTTTTTAATTTTTGAAACACATTGCGGTGCTAGACTGAGGCTCCAAATGAGAGAGAGAGAGAGAGAGAGAGAGAGAGAGAGAGAGTCAGTCCTTGGCTATCATATTCCGTCACAGATAATTTATATACTATAGCTTTTTTTTTTTCAAGATTTGCTCATTTTATTTGAAAGGCAGAGTTATGGGGTGGGGCGGGGAGAGGGAGACAAAGACAGAGATCTTCCATCCACTGGTTCACTCCCCAAATGGCCACAACATCCGGGGCTAGGCAAGTCGAAAGCAGGAGCCAGGAGTTTCCTGTGGTCCCCCCACGTGGGTACATGGGTCCAAGCACTTGGGACATCCTCTGCTGCTTTCCCAGGCACACTAGCACGGAGATGAATCAGAAACAGAGCAGCCAGGACTCTAACCTGTGCCCACATGGCATGCCAGCACCACAGGCATAGCTTTACCTCCCACGCCAGCACTGGCCTCGTAACTTCTGCTTAAGGAGGGTAAACAGATACAAGTCACGTCACATGAATTTCACGTTCAACTTAGTTTTCTGTAGTTTGGCTCAAACCTCTACTTTTCACACTCATGCACAGCCGGCACATTGTACTTCGACACTGTAACACATTTTAACTAGTATATGAGAAGTCCAATTATTGTTTCTCACTCTCATAGGAGAAGGGAACTTATCCTTAGCTCACAGGGGTGACAGGCCAGCATATTAGACTGCAGTGGCAAAAAGATTGAGAAGGAAATACCACTCAAGTTGCACTAAATGGAAGACACTTCTACACAAAGACCAGTGCTCTGAAACAGGACTAGAAAGCCAAATTTGTGCTGGCTAGACCAGGTTGTTTTTTTTTTTTTTTTGTAAGGATTTATTTATTTATTTGAAAGGCAGAAGCACAGAGAGGCAGAGGCAGAGAGAGAAAGAGAGAGAGAGAGAGAGAGAGAGAGAGAGAGATCTTCCACCCGCTAGATGGCCACAATGGCTGGAGCTGTGCAGATCCAAAGCCAGGAGCCAGGAGCTTCTTCCCGGTCTCCCACGTGTGTACGAAGGCCCAAGGACTTGAGCCATCTTTCACTGCTTTCCCAGGCGGAGAGCTGGATCAGAAGTGGGACTGGAACTGGTGCCCATATGGGATGCCAGCACTGCAGGCGGCGGCTTTACCTGCTAGGCCACAGCGCCAGCCCCACACCAGTTGTTCTAAGTTAACACCATCCCTGGCCCACACTGTGTAGTCCAGCCCTTCTGAATGTCAGCATCCACTGTACCTTTGAGCACAATCACGTCTCATGGGCCAGTGTACGTCCACCAGCCTCTGGGAACGTGCCACACACAGCAGACACGCCGCGCCTGATGGGGACAGGAGGAACCCCATCACCTCACACACATCGACATTGAAGTCACAGCCGGACACCTCCCCGTGGTCCGTAGTGCACACTGGCATCTTTTTCTGCTTTTGGATGCATTTCCCTCACTGGGGCAGCCGGGCTGATCCAGCTCAGGCCTGTGCGTTTGCCTGCAGGTAACCAGAGGCTGCCTCCCAGAGCTTCCGGGAGCTTCCTCCTCTCCTTGTACAGCAGCTCCTCTTTCTTCCAGAATGTCCCCCATTAGTGTTGTTTGGAGGTAAAGGCGTGGGTCCCCTGCCGAAAGGCAAGTGTGCTTTTAATCTATCAGCACCGCCGCCGCCGCTGCTTAAAATACATAGCACTTGGAAATGCGGGCTGCTTGGCCCTTTTTGAACTCTTAAGGTGAAAGTGGCTAATTTGGCATTTCCTGCTCCTGCCAGGGAGGAGCGCAGCTATTGTGAGGCAGAGCTGGAGCAGGGAGTGGGGGTCCTCCTTCGTGCGGTCAGACCCTGCAAGCCCACCGTTGCCCTCCCTATTGTGAGGCCATGCACCAAAGCTGGAGATCCTCGCGGATTTCCTAGATGGACGCTTTCATTAGAGAAAGCAAAAAAAAAAAAAAAAAAAAAAAAAAAAAAAAAGAGCACTTCCAGGGTTTTGCCTGGAGTTGGAGATCTCCAATGACTCTGACCTTAAGAGACTCAGGAGGCGCCTGCTGTGGGCCACGTGCTACTACCTAATTATGTAAAAGTGCCATGGGATCACAGACGAGGGACATTAATCCTCTCTGGTGGGGTTAGGGACGGCTTCCCTGAAGAAGTGACATTCACACTCCAGCTTGAAAAGTGAGTGGGACTTTGCCCAGCAGTGAAGTGGGAAATCTCACTGCAGGCAGCCAAAATAAGGAAGACTCAGGGGTGGTGGAGATTCGTGCCTGCTTCTTAGAATGCCGCTATCCCTGTGCTCTTGGGGCTGAGACTGCCGTGGGAGAGACAAAAGCAGGGGAGGATGCAGGCGGTAGAATCACTGACTTTCGTAGCACCCAGGCTGAGTGGCCCAGGGGCACCCACTGCAGGGTGCCGCAGTAAGCACCCACCGTGAGCACCAGCCCTGAACACCAGCCGAGCCCTCAGATCTGTGAGTTCCATGGCTTGTCTGCCACTCTGGTTCCAGACCCATGATTGTCCCTGATGCAATTGCAGAGTTTCTGATAGCGATGCGCGCTGTAAAAATGATGCAGTTTGTTACCATGGAGGGTCGAGGGTAATTTCTATGCAATGGGAGCGGGAGGGTATTAAGGCGTGGGCCGCCAAGCCATTCTGAGGCTGTGGTGTTTGAGTGACAGCTTGCCAGTTGTCAGCTGGGCCTGGGATCTGGTGCTTTCCGACAGAGGAAGTCAACACGCAAGGTCAGACTGCCGGGAAGGAGACTGCGGACCGTGGGAGACTGCGGACCGTGTGCACCTTCCCAACGGCACTGGCAGGAGGAGCCCAGCATCACCTCTGTTACAGAAGCACTCAGATTCTGCAGGGCCGCTAGGAAGGAGGCATCAGATGGGCTCAGCCGGGAGAGTTCCCCACGCAGTCGGCCTGTGCTGCTCAGCTGGCGAACCCATGCACGTTCTACTGCTTACGTAAAAGAACTGTATCGCCAGCTTTATGAGTTTGGTAGCCACAGGGTGTTTACAGAAAATCATTTTTTAGTTTTGAAAATTCACACTGAAATATCAGGGATAGAGGAATACCTTGTCTTTGACTTACTTTTAAAAATTCCAGGGCAAATATGTAAAGGAGTTGTGTATGTGTACATGAGAGGAAGAGACAGGGACAGAAGAGGTTAAAGAAAGGAAGCAAGGGGGTAAAATGCTAACATAGGGATAACCTGGGCACTGAGTACCTGGACATTCTCTGTACCGTTCTTGAAGATTGTTTCAAAAATATCACTTCAATTTGTTAATTTGAGAGAGAGAGAGAGAGAGAGAGAGAGAAAGAGAGAGAGAGAGAGAGAGAGAGAGAGAGAGAGAACTCCTGTCCCCTCCAAGTGCTGAGGTCAAAGCCAGGAGCCAGGGACTCCTGGTCTCCCACGTGGGTGAGCTCTCACTGCTGCCTTCCATGCTGTGCGTTTGCAGGAAACGGGTGCCAGGGACAGAGCCAGGAGTCAAATGCAGGTACTCAATATGGGATATGGAAGTGTCAACTGCTTGGCTAAATACCTACTTGAAAGCCTCCCCACCCCCCATATCTGAAATATGGAGAAAGAAAACACCAGGCAGAAATACAGATGTGAGAGAGACTGACCAGACCTGAAGGATGGGAGTTGCTCAGAAAGCCAGGGGTGGAGCCAGGGGGTGAGAAGGCAGAAGAATGTGATCATGGAAGAGGGGAGGACAGAGGGAGACAGAAGAGCTGACAGGAGCGGGAAGGAGACGGAGGCCCTGTGGGACACTGTGGGGCTCAGGCTCCATCATCTCAAAGTGGACTTCCAGTCCCCAGAGAGACATCAGCCTCTGTCTGAGACCACACTGCTGCCGTCAGGGGAGGGTGGAGGGCAGTGGTGCTCAGCTCTGCTTGCTGGCTGCCTTGGAGAGGCCTCACCAGGCCACTCTTCCTGCTCCAGGGCTTCCCAGAAGCCAGCGGCCCCATCACGCTCCCCGCATCTCGGTACTGTCACCCTCCCCTGCTCCCGTCTGCAGATGTGCCCAGTTCTGTTTTCTGCATAGAGCCACCCCTGTCCCCTACTGTGGTCAGTGTGCATGAATGCCAGACCCATGGTGTGCTGGCTGCCGCCCAGTGTCTCCCAGCTGAGTCTCCCCCTTGCCAACCTGCTCTGAACCTGTTCTGAGGAAGCTGAGGGAGGCCAGGCACCTGATGACCCTGGTGACTGTCAGTCCTGGGGGCACGGAGCCACCTCTACCTGGCCCAGTCTGCTCAACTCTCAAGGCCGAACCGATGTGCCACGTTTCTCTGTCTAGCCATGCATCATTTCACAGCACACGTTTAAGATAGTAAGTTCTGGTAATAGCTTGAAGTTCCGTCTGGCTAATGGAGAGCTTGCTCTCGGGGCACATATTGGTACCTAATTCCAGACTTCGCAGGGCGACAACTGGGGCAGGATGCTGTGCTCAGCCTGCTGAGCAGTGTGCAATCAGATTCAGCCTCCTCGACCTGAAGTAGCTGACGTCCCTATTGAGAGCAACGGTGAAACGCCCCATTGCCAAGGCAGCCACATCCAGCAACAGTGAACGGTCGCCCGTTCGAGGGTATTCAAATTGGGAGTCAAAGGTCTTCTGGGTCTTCCCATCAGAGATTAAATCCCTTATTCCAGGAAAAGAGAAAGTAAAATTCTTATTATCAGGAAACCACAGGAGGAACCATAAACCAATGACATTGATGATCTTTTCCAATTAGGCTTACGTAACTTATAGGGAGAAACACTTAGCTGATGGCTCAAAGACTTTTACTTCCCTGCGATTATACAGAGAAGCAATCCAGGGCTGCTGACTCAACAGAGTGTGATCGCTTTGGCTCGGTCGGTTGATTGTTCCCCTGGATTAAAGCTTTGCTCATGTTTGTAGAACCCAGTCCAGGTGTTCAAGACTCCAGGTCCTCCTCTCAGGAGACGCCGTCCTCCCGTGGGCTCTC